CGGCGGCTGTGCATGCTTCGGGTTTCGGTTTCTCCCGCGATTCGACTTGTGTAAACCACATTTTTTAAACTCGATGCAAGTGCATCACAGGTAAGTGAGCGCACGAATTCTCAAGGCTGACTATATATGAGCTCTGTCGAGCTGCACCGGAATCGCTTTCGGTGTCGCTGCCATCGTGAGATGCGCAGAACACACAGGTACAGACAAAGTAACGGAACGCCGGTCTCACAGCGGAATGGTGAAGTGCTGTGTATCATATAGATTCACCCTTGGGGAAGAGAGGTGTGAATGCTTCAGGGCGTCCCCATCTGCTTGTCGTAAACACAGGGTCGACAGCATCCGCCCTAGTCAGCAGCAATGAATGTGGAGATAACGGGCGAAGGCCCGCTGTCGCGGGGTGCGGAACGCACGACGCGTGAAACGACACCATACGACCAGCGAAAGCATGGATCTATTGCAGACAGTACCCCGTGTTATTTTCCAGAGACAGCTCTAATACGCGCGGACTCAGTGGTGGTGGTCCTCCTTGGGGACATCGTGCTCGAGGAAGTCGAGGAACGCCTCGCCGCCGTTCTTGCCTGCCTCGATGGGCTCGGCAGCCGCCGCCTTCGACTCCGCCTTCGTGGGCTCCGCCGCGTCGTAGGCAGAGAGTTCTGAGGCGAGGTCGTTGGGGAGGGTTGGTGGCTGGGGCTTGGGCGGGAGCGAGTACGCCTTGACGGCACCGACGTGTGCGTCCTTAGCCTATACACAAGTTAGCGGAAACTTCGGGTGAGTCGACATAGTACGCACAACGGGCGCGGGCTTGTAGGCCTTCAACTGCTGGATGTAAAGGTCCTGGACGAAGTCTGGGTCGTGCGCCGGAAGCGTAAGGTTGCGGACCGGGACCAAGAAACGTACAACGCACCCTTGCGGACGACCGAGGACGTCGAGAAAGCGCAAGAGCGCGAAACCGCACGAGCCTAGATATTCCCGCTACTCAAAAATGCGCCCCAGGTTCAATAAAATAGGAACATACGGCGCTGGAGGCCTGCCTGAGGAGGGATGAGGACATGGTCGGAAAGGAACGTGTGACTGTGACGTGTGACGGCCGCATTTTGGCCTCGGTTGGCCTCGGTTAGCGAAGCGCCCGGTGCCGACGTATATACTGTCTCCACAACCTCTCATAAACCCAATATCACTTCCAACGCTCCCCTTACTCACATTCACCATGCTCACTCGTATTGCCTCTGTCTCTGCGCGCCGCATCCCCCGCGTGTCTGCTGTCTCGACGCGTTTCTACTCCGAGAACCAGTTCAAGTGCGTGCGCTAGTGAATGATTGTCCTCATCGAACGCTGACAAGTCCCTATGTACACAGCAAGAAGGAGAAGGCCCACGAGGGTGCGCATAGTGGCGATGAACGTACTGAATTTAGCCTCACTCCCGCATAGATCAGTATGCCCGTCAACACGAGCAGGAGCAGCTGAAGAAGCTTAGGGACGAGGTGCGGTCGTGGATGACCATAAACGCTCTTCGCGGGCTCACAGCCAATGTTCACAGATTGAGAAGAAGAAGGCTGAGTTGGTGCGCTTGCGCGTGTCCTCATAGGTTGCTGTACTCATATGTTCTCGTAGGCTGAGCTCGAGAAGCAGCACGCAGCAGCCGCCAAGTCGCAGTAAATTAGTCCGCTTGGGACATGCTAGCTTGAGCTGTGTTCTGGATATTGTAAGCGATACCCCCGCGTTTGTCCCCCCAGTTGAAGTCATCCTTCGACCTAGTCATCACGTCATCGCGTTCTCGAGTGTATTAGCATCCATCTCACTATCAATCCAGTGCATGCTGTCTCGCCCCTATAAATCTCTTGCAGCGTGTTCTCTCCCTCCCCATGTTAGCGGTCAGAAACACCGCCATGAAAGCAGCTGTTGGCCTGTCCCAGAGGGCGGCGCGCCTCGGGGTCACTTCGGCCGAGGGACGGCTAAGAGACCGTGAAGTGTCACGCACTTTGACGAGACCTGCTCTGAACCATTATGCCGGCGTACAGCTGTCCGCTCACTGCAGTCCGTGCCACGAATATGTATATGCAGATAGTCCGAGGGACCACCTACGAGGTACAACATGTATGTCCAGAATACACTGGCCACGCGGGACGACTCGTTAGAATCGCAGAGCAATCAGCGGCGAGAGATGATACTCCTAAGGCAATTACTGGAAGTTAAGAGTATCAGTTTGAGCCCTAAGGTCAACTTGCGGGCAATGATTTGAGATGTTGTTTCGGGTATACGTATCTATGATTGTCGATGTTGTTAGTCTCTTACAAGCACCTGAGGCCTGACCGGTATCGTACTGTGTATTTAGCTGGTGCTAAAGAAAGTTGAAGTTAGGGATGAATCACACAACGAGAATGCCAAAGTTGGCCCTGGGAAACCCTGTAGAAACCCGTGAAATGACATGTTAAGATTCTACAATATTTCCCGCTAAGATCTTATCATGC